CGATCACATGTCATCGGGGCCTAAGTCTGCCTAATTCCAAAAGAATCTCTTGCAAATGTAACCCAAAAAGATGATGAAAGTGTCAAGGACTATATCGCCCGATTTAATGACCGAGTCCAGAATATAGAGCCTTGTCATCCCGAAACCCTGCTTGTCATGGCTATTGCCGGGTTGAAACCGAATTCGATTTTCCGCTGGATGTTGTGTCAAAATAAGCCAAACACCTTTCAAGAATTTCTTGCTCGGGCTCAGCAGCACATCATAGCCGAGGAAGCCATGTCGCTCCCCGACTTTAACTTTAACCCGAAGTCATCCATGGCGGGAACCGACGAGAAAAAGAAAAACAAATTTTTCGAAAAACAAAGCAAGACTCAGTTCAGAGGACCTCCTCGTGGAGATCCTAACAATCCCGAAGTTCGAGCAGCCCGAAAACAATATGCTACCGATGTGAAATCCGGTTATCAAACAGTATATTCCGCAGGGCTGCCACCATATACGAAGAAATCAAAGGGAAAGGCACTTTACCGGACCCCAAGCCACTTTGGATGCCCGAAGAAAAGTTGGACAAATCCCGATATTGCGATTATCACAAATCGCCAGGACACAATACTGACGAGTGCTTAAGCCTATTAGCTGCTTTGTTGCATTTAACTGGTCATCCACAGCTCAGAAAGTTCTATCGTAATACCGATCCTCAGAAACGGGGCCCAGGGCGCCCAATGGAATCTTATGATGATGACGACGAGGAGGACCGCGGTACCATACCAAAGCGTATCCGGCAAGGAGATAAGGAAATATTCATGTTCACTTCGGAAGCGTTCGATTCCAATTCAACTGAAACCTCTCGAAAACGCAAGCGAAGCAGATCTCCCAGCCCGATGCAAATAACTGTCCATCGCGACAATACCAACAACACTCGGAGTACATTATCCCGTCGGCAAGTCAAAGCTTATGCTCGACAAGCTTACAACTCCAGTAAACAAGTGTACACCACCGATCTGAGAGACATTCTCAATAACAGGAATTGTCCCATAACTTCTAATATGGAGGATGCAAATCATTTCGCACACCCCCATTCTGACGCACTTGTTATTACTATTCCCATATGCGGAATCCCTGTACACCGCGTAATGGTCGACACCGGGGCCTACTCGAGCATTCTGATGTTAAAAGCCTTTGACAAAATGGGTCTAGATCCTGCCGATATCCGACCTTGCAACGACCAAATACAGGGGTTTAATGGTAGCATTTCAAAACCCATCGGCGAGATCACTTTACCCGTCAGATTTGGTACTTCGGAGAACGTTACTGTAATACCCCGTTTGATTGTGGATTATTGGTATTATTAATTATTGTCTTTATTATTATTTGAGCCCCTTTTTATTATTATTATTACTATTATTATTATTATTATTATTATTATTATTATCATTATTGTTAATTGCCTTATTGTTATTATGTGTTTAAATGCTTACTATTCTTAAATAATATTATTGTGTGTATTATATATATATATAATGTCCGGTTTTATTTTAGTTCGTGTTGTCGCGTTTTCTTACCGAGCTTAGATTTATGTTTCAGCCCCACAAGATTAATTTCAGGCCCAATTTGATATCAATTTCAGCCCAAATTTATTAAGCTCCCTAAGCCCAATTTCTTTTAAAAATTTTGGCTCATTTGATAAAATTTCTGGCCCATTAAGAAGCTTTTACCGAACAGATCTCTTCTCCTCCTCTGCGCGAGACCGAGTCCCACCTTATCTGTGCGTTAACAATTTTGTTCCGATTTTATTGCGAATTCAAACGCACGTTCTCCATCCTCCTTTCACCTATATTAGTCGAGAACCCAGCAGCGGAGTCATCTCCAAGCTCTATCTCTCCCTCAATCTCTCTGTTTGCTGTTTTTTTTTAAAATAAAATAAAAATAAAAATATAAATCGTACCTGCAATTTCCGGCGACCTGCGACTCCATCTTCGCCGGCATCCCTTCGAACAGTCACGCAGCACGTCCATCAAAGTGAGGAAATTCTCCCTGCCCGTGTAATAGTTCCTGAAAGCGAAGGGACCTCAGCAGCCGTGCCGTCAATTTCGAGCAGAGCTTCAGTCCGGTTACCGTCGTGTTTTTCTGAGCAACGGACGTACCCTCCAGCGAGCAGCTGTTCGTGAGTAGTCCCCGTGTTTAGAGTTCCGGGTCCCGTCGAGACTCGGTTCGCCCCGTTGTCCGAACCGTCGTTCCGATATTTCCCGAAGACGGGTAACCTTTTCGAAACCTCCTCGTAAATTGCTATTCAGAATGATATCGTTTGATTATTGTTTCTTCGCGTTGAATCGTTTCGTTGGGTTTCGAATTTGGTTTATTTGTCTATTGTATGTTCGTATGTTCATTATTTATTTCGTATGTTCGTGGATTATTCGGGGATAATTGGAACTCTTGATTTCATAAAGTCAAATATCGTTGTGTTGCTGTGATAAATGTGCATAAGTTCGGAGTCTCGTTTTGTTGTTTCGAGTCGTCGTTAGGTTGTTCGGGTCATTCGAACTCCCGGTCGTCCTCTTTGCTTTTATTTTGGTTGTTCCGTTTTCGAGCCAAACCCGTTAATAAAAATATGTCTCGAAACTCTGAAAATTATGTTATTTTTATAATCTCTCGAATCCGGTTGCCGTTAAATATGTCGTTGTCGAATTTGGTCAAATTTTGCAGTCTGTTCGCAGATTCACATCACTGTACGACTTTTGCTTCTGTCTCTTTTCAATTCAGTTTCAGACTTTCTTATACTTCAGTAATATATATTTCAAATAAATAGACGACAGATTGAGTGGCGCAGTGGTAAGTAGCGCGCATGATTGTGAGCGCGGTCGCGAGTTCGAATCCCACTTCTTGCAACTTGCAAATTTTTTTTAAGTGAACCAGCCCAGCGCGCGGGCTTTCCAGCCCACACTCGGCCCGCGTTCCGGCCCGAACCCTCTCT